CTCTCTAACACAGACAGTTGACTCGTGCACATAGAGAAACAAGACCTGCGGGCCATTTCTCTCTATTACACAGACAGTTGACTCGTGCGGAGCGTCCTTAGAGAAACAAGACCTGCGCGCCATTTCCCTCTAACATATATAGTTGACCCGTGCACATAGAGGAACAAGACCTGCGCGCCATTTCTCTCTATTACACAGACAGTTGACTCGTGCACAGTCTTCATAGAGAAACAAGACCTGCGCGCCATTTCTCTCTATTACACAGACAGTTGACTCGTGCGCAGCGTCCTTAGAGAAAGAAGACCTATGCGCCATTTCTCTCTAACGCAGACAGTTGACAGTCTTCTCTAATACAACTCCTGATTCGTGCGCAAGTTTATTCCGTAATTTTAGCATATTTTAGTTCCTTTCTACCCTATTTTAAATTTGATGAAATTCTCATAATATAACTATTATTGCTTAATTAAACCTCAACGATGTACCTTTTCTATATTTGATTTAAGCTTCTGTGGTGGTGGTATTGAGGGATTCAATTTTTGAAGAAAACACTGTTTCTTTTTAGGGAGTTTGATAATCGTCCAGTTCTGAAATAACAACAGGTAACCCAAATAAAATAGACTACATGCGCATGTCAAATTAAACTGAAAAATGAGTTAGTGGGATAGTTTTAGTTCAGTGCTGTCTAAGGACTCAGTAACGCGTATCCGGATATTTTTGAATCTGCAACTTTTTGGTTGCGGATTTTTAAAAATTTCGCGTCCACACGTAGTGTATTCAAATCGTTTTAGCCCGCGCCAAATATCTTGCGCGGAAAAGACTGGATCAGACAGTGTTACGTCAGCGTATTCAAAAATATACGGATTCGACCGTCCACACGACGCCGGATTCACGCCGTATTCAAAAAATTCTACTCTGGAGACCGTATTCAAAAAGTTGCGGATTCGTCTACCGTATTCGCCTGATACCTGTGGACGGAAGGCCAATCCGCAACAAAAAAGTTGCGAATTCAAAAATATCCGGATACGTGTGGACGGGGCCTAAATTGTCGCTATTTCTACAAAATGTCAATTACAGTCTTATCAGCTTTTCCCTCCGGACTCGAACGATGACAAACCTTCGTGAAGTCGTTAAGAATAATACCCTCGTCTACTTTATCGTAAGAGAGAATATGGAAGCGCTCTGTTTTGCTTGCTGTGTCGATACGAATGTTTTCATCCACAAATGTCGTCCCTTCCTTCACTCGTATCCAGAAATCTTTTACTGGTCCGGACTGCAAGAAAAACATCATTGGTAATTAGTGTAGAGTTGTTGTTAGTTCTTCTTTTGTGTTTCGCGAGGCTTTAATCGCCGACCGGTAGGTTCCCCGGCGGCACCGTTGGCAAAAGTTGTTATTTCAACTTATCTATTTATTTCATTTACAAGAAGGCATGGGCGCCATTCAATTCCTCTATAAAAACAGCTGACTCGTGCTCATTCTGCAAGACAACAAGACCTGTGCGCCATATTCCACACTAACACAGGCAATTACAATAACGACCCGAATTATCAGAGCTAACGCAATATGAAAATCTTTTATGCACATAAATTTAAGGTACAAGAGATATGATTGGTCAATATTCATTAGCTAGTAGAAAACGGCGTGACGAAAAAATAACCAAAATGTGCACAAGGAGACCGACTCAGATCAGGAAGAAAGACAGTTCAAAATTAGTCTAGATCGCGCTTCTATGCCGGGCTTCCTGTGTTATATAGGGAATATTAATTTACTAGCGATGCCTTTCGCGCCTAGATTCCGCCACCTTTTTCCCCATCATTACATAGGAGATAACCTATCCTACTTTCAAATGAAGATTTTTATTGATTTGGTTGTCGATTCCACCCAAAAACCACATTTGAATTCAAATCTATTAAACGTGGCAGCTTAGTTTTCTAAACTGCATGTAAATCAGGTGGTGTTTCGATATTTTCAGGACAGGATGTACTGATACTATCATTGGATACCATGCTAAGTTGGATCGGATTACTGGATGAGCTAAAAGTGAATACACAAATTTTAAGTGACAATTTATCAACCTGGCCAGCCAAGGACAGAATTTTTGATTTATAAAACGAGAAAATCCTTTATCTTCTAAAAAAATATATTAAAAAGCAAGAAACGCCTACGATCTTTGGCAAGGTTTCACAATCTGATGTCAACTCAATTTTTTTAAATGAAATTTTGAGAATTCAATTTAGAGTCAGGTCAAACATCCAACTTCACATGAGCCGAACCTAATTGAAGCAATGGATAAGAAGCCGGCGGTTCTTCTTCGATGTTATTAGGTTCGGCTCATATGAAGTTCAACGTCTGACATGAGACTAACCTAGTTCATCAAACTATTTTTGATATAAAATATGAATTGTTCTCAGTAAAAATCAAGAGAAAAGTCAGTGAAGAAGTCATTTTACTTACTCGTCTTCCTAGTGGCGGAGTGTCTATGATTTCAAACCATTGTTCGTCGTTTGGAATAATTTCTGCCCTTGTCCATGAGACAAGAACGATGAGGACAAGGTAGCGAAAAACTGTTTTACGCTGTTGATAAAAATCACAACAATAATATACAGTAAGGCGTTTTTCCTGCTTGGATAGTTATTAAAGACGTGATTCATGTTTCTTCAAGCACTTTTTTTCGAATCACGCCTGGAGCTCGCATTTTTTCCCGAACTTTTCCACTTGAAGAGTAACATAAATCACAGCAATTATAGTATAATATATTTTCTGGTGTTGATTCTAACCTTTCTCATGGGGACTGTTATAGCTGGCAGATTTGTGTGAAATGAGGTTTTAGTTTCAATAGTTAAAGATCAAGATATGAGTGTCGGCGCGCGCTTGACAATTAATGTGTTTTTGTTGTGTACTGTTGTCAAAACCATAGCGGAAGATGCTCAACCTTGCACTTTATTCACAGTTGGAAATTTTCACTCAAAATGAATGATTACCCGCGCCACTTCTAAACTTTTCTTAAAAATTTCAAAACACAAGTTAGATAAATAAAGTGTAAAATATATTGTTTGTGAATAGTTGTAAAAGGTTTGTACAGTTCTGCTGTCTTTTCGCCTTTAAACTACTGGGTTAAATCTAGCACTGCCTTCTAAAACTGAACACACAGACTTTAGTCCTAATTCACTCGTTTGGGGCAACATGACTCTAAAATCAGATAATATGACATCAGCATTATCTAATCATTCGAAACATTTTTTAACAGTAATATAAAAGAAATGCCCTGGCTCTAACTCATCCTCACCGTAATTCCTGTCATTCTTCTAGTTGTGGTGACACGAATTTCTCGTTCGGCTAACTGGTCCTTCGCTTGCCAAACAAGACAAAGTTCGAAATACCGATTTTCCTCTCGAATTTAGGTAAATATTTGAAGGTATCGCGTTGCGCAAACCTCTTAGCTGGATTATTGGTCAAAAATGGCCTTTTTTCTATAATCCTTATGTGTACTCTGCACTTCTCAACTAAGTGATCGATTTGAACTCGATTAGCTGTCAGGATAAACTACTCTTTCTTCAGAACGTCTCGTAAAGTAAACACTTCCCTCGAGCTAAATCGATTGTCGAGTACCTCTATTCGAACTTAGAGTCAACTGTTGCCTCAAACAAAAAGATGAGGACGTGAAAGTAAGACGAGAACTAAAGCCCCAATAAGCAGAACATTTAAACAATTTGAATCACGAAGCATCTGTCAGCAGAGGAAGAGATTCCCAGAGCTGTCGAAAAGATCACAAGATTTGGCTGTCCGTGAGGGGAGTTATTTTAGACGATTCTACAAATGCACTCAAGCAGCTTTTACTGAAAGATATCACCCGCCAGGATCTTTACACAGCCTTCAAGGTTACTTAGATTTGATAATAACATGTTGAGATTACCCATCAAATAGTTTGAGTCCTTTTCGGGAAGGATGATGGAAATACGAGCTAAAACAAGTGTGGGATCGAGAAACCGCGTCTATTACCAAAGACACCGCTAAGGGAATAAATGACCTAAAACACTGAAATCCAAAACTTAAATGGAAAGTCTTCAATAGCAGCATCCGTTGATTGTAGAAAAACATTCTTCAAATGAAATAATAAGTTTCCATTTTAGAGGAAGTGGCCTTTTACTACCTACGCCCTGCTTTTCGCCGTTTTCTACAACATTCTCTTCAATATCCATGTTCAGAGATTAGTTAAAGTAGAGCTTTGTTCGGCTTTTTGAAATTCTTCATTCACTGCTTTGTAAGCCCCGCGCTGTACAAATAAACAAATCCCCTCAGTGATTTTCATCTAAACAAACGCTTTTTTTCAAAACACCGCGATATGAGGGCGGATCACCGCTTAAAATCCCATTTCCAACGTTTGAATTTATATTAAATACTACAACAAAACAAATTAAGTTTAAATCAAAAGTATAGTGTTTGTCGCTGCAGAAAAGGTACTTGAAAAATCTCATCAATAGCTCTTCTCAGCATTATTTTTCGGCAACATCTTCATCAGTGCACTAGCTGTGCCGGCCTTCCTTTTTTTTTTTTTTTTTTTTTTTTNTTTTTTTTTTTTTTTTTTTTTTTTTTTTCATTCATCTTTTCTCTCGTCTCTATTTGTCGGTTCTAAATCACTTTGTTTATCAGTCAACGCCGTAACGATGGACAGAAATTTTGCAACTCCTGGTTCGTCAAACCTTTTGCAATTGTTCCGGAGAAATGATTTGGCAAAACCGAGTTGGGTTTTTAGCTTAAAATAACAGCAAAGATCAGCAAATTCAAATTTTGATCAATCTAAGAAGAAAATAGTATAGAGTAAGTTATCTATCGCTTAGAATATGTTGTTTTACCTCTGTTAACATTCTTCCAACTTGTACCTTGATCGACTTGTTAGATCAAAGCTTGGTTAAACGGTAAATCATTGAATATTGAAACTTGGAATATTACTGAGGTAATGAATAAAAGGTGAAAATAAATTCAAAGGAATAACTGGTACGTGGGCAAAAGCGTGGAAAGCAATAATGTACCAGAAAAAATGTTTTCCTAAGAATATCGATAATTAAAAACTTTTTTTTTTGTAAACTAATGTTGTTGATAACAAAATACATCTTGCTCATTGAAGGAAAAAATCATTTTGCCTCCTTCGTAATAAATACAATTAAAAAGGAAGTTAGATTATGAAACGTAGTTTTTTGGGAACTTCGAGCGGGCGTGAGAATAGCATCTTCTCTTACAGATGGATTTTTTTCAAATCAAAAAGGCGTTTGAATAATATTTTTTTATTTTATTGTTTCCTGGTAAATGCCTGGGCTGAGCCGTCTCGACGCGTCATGGCGGCAAGTCTATGCATATTATAAACAACGGTGAATCTTTCCCCTRTATCATGTTCATGAAGAATTCATTTAAAAAATAGGCAACTTTTTTTTATATTGAACAGAGCAATTAATTTTTTCTAATTTGTTTTTAAGCTTTTGGTACTAATTTCATCAAGACTAATTTATATTAAAGCAATTTTATGTTATATTTAGTAGAATCGTGTAAATATTTAGCTTGAAAATCGAAATGTTCATCTTAAAAGGCGTGCCTTTGAGACAATTCTTTAATAAAATGTTGTCTGTCTAAAGGTCTTTTACTCTTAAATATTATAATAAAATCGATAGACGTTTTGAAATTTTTATCCCTTTTTCTTTCACGTACGCGTTTTGCAATAACACACTCTTGAGAAAAATGGCGGGGAAAATAAGCCAAGTGTGAATGGGCGGATAGTTATAATCATTTCCTTGTTAAATTACTGAATGGATTCTATAAAGAATTCAAGAGCTTTGGCAAAAAAAAAAAAAAAAAAAATCAGTAATCAAGAACATCATTCTACGATTGACGAAAACCGTTTCAGTGTCAACTTTGTTTTTGTTGCCACAAAGTGTCAGAAAAACTATAAAATAATCAGTAGTAATTCACTAAATATGCGTTTGAACTCGACCGAGTCAATCAAATATATCAGCTTTATTGGTTGATAGGTTTATTGTTTTTTTATCGGTTTTATCCCTAATTCTAAGGGGTTTTTTACTTTCTAAATTATCAATATCAACATTAGGTGTCATACGGGCGAAGCAAGAATATTTTTATCACTTATTTCTTCAAGCGTTGGTCGCAAAATTTGAACTGAAAGCTTATTACAAACATACCTTAAAGTGCCTTAGAGAGTTCTGGGTATCAATATTAAGTACTCCAAGAGGTTAATCTTCAATCCCTGGACTTTGATCATTCTTTCCGGTTTCTGATTCTGCCTTTCGATTTTTTTTTTTCTAGGCCATCACTCGGTACAACTAATTCAGTTTTCTTCGAATTTCTATGTAAATATCTTATATTGAAATAGAAATCTCTAGCTTTCAATATGAATTGTTTGCTCCTATAACGTGTTTACTTACAATTTATTGTTATACTACATACATAATTACAAATATTGCATCAGCCTAGTTCGGTCTTATACCAAACACTGGTCAAATTTGTGTGTTTATTTTTAGCATTGAGCGAATATAAGCCTTTTGTTCATAAGCACGTATCTTTTGTCAGTCTAATATTTTTTTCTCATTCAGTGGCATTTACTGAGTTGGTGGCGCGAAAAAAAAAAATCCGTGATGGGAGCGAGCAGACAATATACTTTCATAAATTTATTATGATGCTTGACTTAAAATAAAATTTTAATTTGAAGTTGTTACTTTTAATTAAAATGTTGAATGCTATTTTATTGTAGTAAGTAATGACGATGATACATATAAGATACATATTATGCCTTCATGTATATATATATATATATATATATATATAAGTGTCTGATGAGTGGTTAGAATAAAATGCCTTCGATCCAATTACCGTAAAGTAAGGTGTACGACTTGAGAGTGTTAAGAGGCTCAGAAAAGAAAAAATAGCCCTTTATTATATCATATTAACTGTTGTAAACTGAAGTAAAATCTAAACAAATGAAAGATACGCTTCACTCAAGAGTTTTTTAAGAGTTTTGAAGATGGATAAATATAATCGTCTCATAATATCCATTAACTTGATAAAAGAAGAATAGAATGGAGAGAAAGGATAGAGTAAGGAGAAGAAGAGAGAAAGGGAATGGAAAGAAAAGGATGAGAAAGGAAAAAAGGGAGGAAGAAAACTAATAATAAAAGAAGAAAGAGAGAAGAGGAAAGAAAGTAAAGCAAACCAATGTAAATATAAAAAATAAGACAAGGAAAGCAATGCCGAAAAAACGGATAGGAAAGGAATAGAAGGGAAATGAAAAAAGGAAATGAAAACCATGAAAGGCAATGGAAAGCAGAGCAAACGAAAGGAAAGGAAAGGACACAGATGTTAAGAATTAGAATAAAGTAACCAGTRAAGTTAGCCAAGTTGAGGTTTTCATTTTTCACTATACGATTCAAACCATCTACCTTACTAGTTAACCATGACTCGAGACACTATCTTTAACTTCATTCAAACATGATGGCTTGTCATATATAAATCAGTTGATGTAGTGAAAACGTGGCCCCCTTATTTCAGCATATCATATGTACACTTCTGAG